TATAGTGGGGGAAGGGGAAGTTGGTCAGTTAGGAGAGTAGCTAGGAGATGCGTGATGAGTAGCTAGGAGAACAGTTAGCAAGCTAATCAACCTCAGAATACGATTAAAATCCTTAGTACGGCCACCGACACACGGCAAGGGTAAGTAGCCACGTGAATCGTTTTTTTCTGCAACTCCATATTATTTTAAGGCCTTTTCAGGGCTGAGCAGCGAGGCTGAAGGTCTTACTCCGTATCTCTAGCTTCTCTGCTTCAGTCAGTACCTACATAATAATTGCAATTGTAAGCATTGAGACATAAGTGGAACAGTGACGATAGGTTATAAACACTTATGAGGAGGTCGAATAATGTCTAAACGAACTGAACCTTCTATATCTCGGTGCAATTCAATTTGTTCCCGATTGATATATGAGCGTGAAGCCTTGGAAAAACTATATGAGTGCCTAATACGACTTACCTCTAGCCACGACATTCGCTAGGAGGCAGGCAAGACAAGTGAAGATGAGCAACATTTTGGCAATGATAAGGCTTTCGCCCGGGGCTCTCTATTTATAGGTAATGGCGGGGGTGTGGACTCGTTCAGTTGTATAGACAAACTGGCATGTTGTCGTAGCTGTCTGGTAAAAAATTCGTTAGAATTGTATTTCCTATCATCATGGTCACTTTCTAGACAGCACTGTCAGCCTACATATTCTGCACCAGCACAGTGCTACATACTAGCTTTTGTTGAACGAGAGTGAAACAAGGTAATGAACCCTAACAGCGCCTCGTTGTAGAATTGAACCGTCTTTACAAGATGATCGCTGTTTTGTATAATTAAGCAAATATTACTCCTGCTTTCTTACCCCTTACCCAATACTCTTTAGCTCGACTACATAAGTCGGTTCTTCCTGGATCACCACAATAGCATCATCATTATCATTCACTCAAATAACTTTAATTACGTAAACTACATTGCGGCAAGTCACTAAGCTTTCCAATTATCACTTCGATTGTGAAAAATTGAAAACAACTAGCGTTTGCATGCAGAAAACATTACCTTGATCGAACCTACAGAAATAACAAGAAGCACATCAGTTCAGTCTTTGCCCTTCCTGAGACGTTCGCGGTGCCGTGCCTATATTTGCAGGAAGACAAAGCTGCGGGCCACGGCTCGCATTCTATTCGATTACTGCTTCAAAGTGGTGGTATTAGAGTGCTGAAATGATAGGGCTACTCCTCTGAATGCGCATTTATTGAGAACTCAAGGGAAGGGATAGTCGGGCATGTTTACTTAACAACCGGCAGCATAACTGAATGAAAGGCGGGAATATTGTATAGGAGGAAATCTTCGGTCATCTAGGTGTTGCTAACCTTATTTGGATCATGTCAATTACGTGAGACATTCGAGCTATCAGCATCTTTGATGAACCTAGCAATTTATGATCTTATTTATGCTCCTTTTGCTTTTTTTCTTTCTCCTTTTCTGCACTGCTTTCAAAAATTTCGTTCTTAAATTCAGTAGTACTCTTTTAAGGTTTCCAGTAAGAATTTCCGCCCTGTGATTGTTGTTGATCACTGTGCAGCTTTGGGCGAGGACAAATGGATTGACCTCCAGATAAGGGAAGCTTGTCTACAGTGCTTCAAACCATGCACAAGGTCAGTATTGCTTTGATTACATTTGCTGTAAATCTCAAAACGAAATCTAGGTGTGTTCTCACCACAATTGATCCTTCCACTGGCGTTAAGGGCAATAAGCTGCAAGCATTGAAGAAGCTGCAACAGTGGATCGTGTACTTCGGCATTCTTGACCGTTATTTGATCAATCTGTTAAGATTTCGACTTTCACCTGAAGGTCCTATGCGACAACAATTCAAAGATTCACCCATTTTTTGAGTGAATGCTGCTGTCTACAAACCTGTTTGTTTATGCTTGACCTTTTCCTTCAAAATTCTTGATTCTTACAAAGACGTATTTCCAGGGCTACATTCGTGTGGGCCAAACCGTTTTTGCACGTTACAAGGAGTCCGCGTTCTGATTGATCTGCTATCTACCTCATTTCGACTATCAATGACTTCCATCCTCACAAAACACCATCAACACTTTAACAAATAATCATTTACTTCTCTTGTGAAGGCTATCTTTATATTGCTGAAGATTCTTCTACTATGTTCTACTCCAGCAAGCTTTTCCTATTATAACAAGCATTTTCAGACCTTAACTCACAAAGAACAAGCAATTTAAGTACAGTTATCAATAACACAAAGGATGAGTGGATGTAAATAAACCAGGCCGAGCTCTCAACAATTGTTTCTTCTGCTTCACAAGGCTTAGAATGCATAACCGGGTGTGACAACACAAGCTGAAATTCATGTACAGAAGAAGGTTCGCAGCGGCACAGCTTTTGATCCGGATCCCTCACTCACAGACAAAGCTGAAGCACTTAAAAGACTAGTGAAGGCATCAATACCAATGCTTGCATAAATTCGTCTGTTTATTCATTCTTGTACACAACCTTTTGATAACGACGTCCACGGGCAACTTCTGTGCAGTAAGTTCCTTTCAAGCAGTAGGACGCAATCACCATTAACGCTTGAAGTGCATCATCTTGCATGTTCGTTGCTCTGCTGTTCGTGTTGTTGTTGTTTGTTGCACGGTGTTCGTTGTACATTGTTCTTTGATATTATAAGGCTGAAAAGCCTGTTATAAAAACTGAAGCGAACAGCGAAAGCTGACATTGATTGTAGTGGTTTATATATAGCACGTTATACTTTCCAGTTGTTTACTGTACTGAAGAAAAGGTAACCCTCATAATTCGACGCCGATGAAATATTTTCAATATGTTATGTTCAATATGATGTAGGCGACTTATATGATAGACTGTGATTAGCGCTCTTGAAAGGGAAGAGCTGTTGTCAGAACTGGATATGTTTTCCAGGGAGGTTCATTCCCTAGTAGTACAGGAAAGTTTTCAATGATTTTCTTGTACTACCACGACATCCAAATGTTTTTACGTGAATTCCCTTTTGAAGTGAAAATTTGGCAGAATAAACGAGGAATTCCCATCTGCTGCTGTGTCTCATCCTGTCTTGTCACTTAACATCAGTGTTCCCATCTGCCACCTGTACACCTACTAAATTTGAATCCTCTAGGCCGACGAGAACCTTAGTTATTAATTTTCGCTCAAACATATATTTTGCGCCATCCTCGTCCCCAACGGGCGAATTCCGGTCCTGCCACCCACCATAGGTGTTCCAATCCTGTCACCTGTGGTCCTACCAAATTTGAACTCTTTAGGTCTATGGGAACCGGAGTCATACATTTCCGGTCAAACACACGCGCGCACGAACACGCACAGACAAACCAACAGACGCACTTAGCGCGCTAAGTATAGTGGGATGCTTTGTCGACGTACCTATGCCGCTAGCTCAGCATGATGAGCCGCCCAGCTCCGCAGCAAGGAGAAGGAACCGTACGGCATGGGAATCATTAAGAAATAACGAGAAAGTAAGAGTAGATGGGCAAAGGACGTTCGCCTACG